AAAAGACAAGAAGGGCGTGTTAAACAATTTGAGGCGAGATGGTTGAAGGAAGAGACGGTCACTGAAATCGTTAAGGCATCTTGGGAGAAAGCAAAGCTAGCAGGTATTGGACCCTCACTTGCTGACCGTACGACAGCAGTGCATGCCGATCTACATACTTGGGACCAGGAAACGCTAAAGGGACCAAAGGTGAGAATTAGAAAATTAAAAAAAGAGTTGGAGAAACTAAGGCATGGCCCATTGAATACGGAATCTTGATGCCGTCAGAAGGAAATTATAATGGTAATTGAAAATATTTTGGAGCAAGAGGAAATATTTTGGTTACAGAGAGGACGGGAAAATTAGTTGATGCATGGGGATCGTAATACGTCGTTCTTTCATAATGTTGCCACAGCCAGGAAAAAAATAAATAATATAAAGAAACTATTAGACGAGTCTGGAAACTGGTTAACAGATAAGAATTGACGAATCACATTACTGGATATTTTACAAAGCTTTTTACATCGGAAGTTCAACACCCGAATCAAGATGTTTTATCACTTGTTCAAAGGAGAGTGTCAAACGAAATGAATGATGTTCTGCTTGCCCCTTATACCGTGGAAGATGTTCACAAGGCTTTATTTGATATTGGGGACTTGAAAGCTCCAGGGCCAGATGGACTCCATGCTATCTTCTATAAAAGGTTTTGGCCCATGCTGGGGGAAGACTTAATTGAGGAGGTCCTGACAGCAATCAACACATGCACTATACCGGAGGGTTGGAATGATACGGCGATCGTGGTGATTCCTAAAATTAATACACCAGAGAAGGTAACTCAATTTAGGCCGATCAGCTTATGTAATGTGCTATATAAAATAATTGCAAAAATGGTGGCTTCTCGATTGAAGGTTTTTTTACCAGAAATTATTAGCCCAACACAGAGTGCATTTGTACCGGGTAGATTGATAACGGATAATATTTTAGTGGCCTATGAGTGTTTTCACACAATAAAGAACAAAAGAGAGGGTAGAGAGGGCTTGTGTGCTATAAAACTTGATATGCATAAAGCCTACGATAGAGTTGAGTGGACTTTTTTTAAGGAGATTATGTTGAAACTGGGCTTTCGTTGTGAGTGGGTTAACTTGATTATGCAATGTGTCTCAACCGTAGAATACAAAGTAAGGATCAATGAAGAGGAAAGTGAGAGATTTAAGCCTACGAGAGGGTTGAGACAGGGGACCCGCTATCACCATACTTTTTTTGTTGTGCACAGAAGGATTGAATGCCTTGCTTGTGCATGCTAAGGAGAATGGAAACATATCAGGAGTAAAAGTCTGTAGAGACACCCCACCGGTCACAAATCTTCTCTTTGCGGATGACTCATTGATCTTAATGAAAGCCAACCAACGTAATGCGGAAAACCTGAAATCAGTACTAGATTTATATTGTGCGGCGTTAGGACAACTGGTAAGCGTTGAAAAATCCAGTATTTTCTTCAGCCCTAATACAAAGGTAGAGATCAAAGAACAATTGTGTACAACGCTAAATATAATGACGGAGGCCCTCACTGATAAATATATGGGCTTACCAGCAAATGTGGGTGTTGATAAAACAGACTGCTTTAGTTTTCTGATTGAACGTATTGTTAAGAGAATTAGTGGTTGGAAGGAAAAATTACTATCTGCCAGAGGGAAGGAGATCCTATTAAAGGCGGTGATCCAAGCCATACCTACCTATGCATTGTCGGTCTTTAAAATTCCTAAAAAGAATTGTAAAGGAATCATTGACGCGATGGCGCATTTCTGGTGGGGAGACGAGGAGAACCAGAAGAGAAAGCACTGGATGGCCTGGCGGAAAATGTGTGTACCAAAAAACCAAGGAGGAATGGGATTCCGTGATATCCACTGTTTCAACCTGGCTCTGCTTGCAAAACAGGCATGGCGTCTCCTTGATAATCTTGACTCCTTGTGTGCTACTATTCTAAGGGCAAAGTACTATCCTAATGGTGATTTGCTGAACTCCAAGCCAAAGCATGGTGCTTCCTTCACCTGGCAAAGCATTATGGCAGGCATCACTACTCTCAAGCAGGTTATATTTGGCGAGTGGGGGATAGACATAACATCAATATTTGGGAAGATGCCTGGATCCCAAATTGTGCCACTAGGAAGATTGTGACTCCTAGGAGGGGGCATTTATTCTCAAAAGTTGTAGATTTGATTGACCCGGTCTCCAATGATTGGGATGAGGACCTGATTAGACAAACTATGTGGACCATTGACGGACAACGGATTCTTTCAATCCCAATTTCGCAACATAATATGACAGATTTTATTGCCTGGAGTTATACGAAAAATGGTCTGTTTTCGGTACGGTCTGCTTACTCTGTGGAGTGGAACTATTAGTATGGGAGCAAACTAAAATATTCCAACGGGATGGGACGGAGCACACGTAACCCTATATGGTGTCAGATATGGAAGTTATCTTGTCGGGCTAAAGTCAAAATATTTTTATGGCGGACACTACATGGTACTCTTCCATGTCGGGCAACACTCACTAATAGACACATGAAGGTCTCGCCCTTGTGTCCTACATGCTCCCAGGGTGTAGAAGATACAAAGCACTTGCTTTTCCTATGTAGAAAAGCGAAGGAGGTTTGGAAAGGCTAGGGTTGGATATGATTATTGAAAGAGCTTGTGAGATTGATCGTGCTGGGGAGGCAATACTGGAATACTTATTACTCCTTTCAGATCAAGATCTGCGCATTATGGGATACGAAAATGTTCGAAAAATGATAGCTATCTCTGCTTGGTATCTATGGTGGGAAAGAAGGAAATTAGTGCATAAGGAATTCACTCAAAATGCCGACCCAGATCTCAATGGGGATCATAGCTCTTACATATAATTTTGTAAATGCTTCATCTTCAAATGCGTCCATAAAAAAGGGGGGTTGGCAATGTCCTTCTAGGGGCTTTGTGAAACTCAATGTTGACGCCTCTTTTGACCATGACTTGCTGGAGGGTATGATGGGGCAGTATTGAGAGACGACAAAGGTAGGTTTATTACAGGAGGGAATGGAAAAATAGACTATTGTGCGGACGTTCTCATGGCGGAGGCCTTAGCTCTCAAATTTGGCCTAAATTTAGCGCAAAGGGCGGGATGTAATCGCCTAATCATCAACTCTGGCAATCTGGAGGTGGTTAAGACAATGCAAGACGGAGGACAGTCAGCGGGAGCGGCGGCGGCAATTTTCGATGACTGCTATCACTATGCTTGTGATTTTATCATGATTAAATTCGAACATTGTAATAGAGAGGCAAATAAAGTAGCACATGAACTTGCTAGATTAGTTAGATTTTTTTCGACTTCGGTTTGGTTTGAGGAGCCTATCAGTGAAATTGTAACACTTCTCACAAACGATGTATTGGTTATTGCTAATGAATAAAAATTCGTTTTTTTTCAAAAAAAAAAAACGATGCCTGGAGCTAGCTTGCTGGGTTGGATGGCCTATTCATGTCCTCATTGGGCCGGAAGATTGTGTGTTCTGCAGAAGTGCAGAGCCATAAATATGCATGTAATCGTTTTTTTTCGAAAGATGCATGCAATTTGTTGGAAAATCGTTTTGACATCTGAAGTTGGAAAATCGTTTCTTTCGTTAGTCAGATACACGAATTACTGTGGAACGGAGAAGGGCAGAGACTTCACACTTCTGTTCCGCTGACCCGGTTTTATAGCACCGTAAAAGATTGAAATGGGAGTAGAACACATAAGTAAACAAATTCATTTCGTCGATGTACTCGACGGTAGCTGCACACTCAAGAACCGAACACATGAAGTGCGCAGTCTTCACATGAACACCTTAGCGAACCAGGTTCGGTAAAGTCTCCACAGCTGAAGATTGATTGAGCACACGCACAACTTCAGTTAAAGGCGCTCAATTTTCTGTCAGGAAAAGTGAACCCGGGATTTTGGAACTTATTTTTTTTGGGGATTATTTTTGGGGAATTTGTTTGAGTACATGGCCTACCTAAAACAAATTTGTTTCTGACGGGCCATGTGAGGTAGAACCGTAGAATATGTATTAGCAGAATCAATAACTAATGTAAAAATAATTCAGAACCAAATCCTTTGCGCCTCCATCCAAGAATCTTCATAAAACAAATGGAGTTAAATACGACCATGCCACTTTATTAAATAACTGATGGTCGTCATTTCTCACTTTTCTATATTTCAAGGATTTCATCAGTGCACACCACCACAGTGAGATGCTTAAGCTTCAGTGATTCTTGAGTGGGAAAAATGATTATTAGTTACAAATATTTTTGCACATTTAGATAAACTAGATAAATACATTTAATATTTATAATGATGTGATAATATAATTAATGCCATCTTGTGAATCGTCGCATCGTGTCACCACACACCTTGCCTAGAAGTGCCATGTTTTAATAAAGCACAATCTTTGTGTGTGCACCCACCTTCACTTCTTATATTTGTGTCGACAACAAGCAGGTAGGGGATGTACTTACAGCAGTAATGCGCGATGATATTCCTCAGCTCACTTGGACACTCAGCGCATATATAGCGACATGTGCCTAACTCACTATGATCGTGTGATTCATCATCCTGCCTTAAAAACATGAGATCCATTTATACCTGGATATATGAGAATCAGTAGCTAATGTGTAATACTCCCTCTCAAGTCTCAACCTTAGTATAACTTTGTACTAAAATTCGTATAAAATGAAGATATTTATTTTGACACGGAAGAAGCACATGATTTGTCACGTATGAAAGCGTACACCGGCACACGAGGAGTAATATGTCAGGTTAAGTGGCGATTGCTAGCCCACGTGATTAAGCATAGTAGCCACGTACACCGGGATAAATGCCCACGCCTATCTAGCTCTATAAAAGCTAGTGCTAGCTCCGGTAGACCTCTACACGAAAACAACCCACATCAGGCATAAGCAGTGAGTGAGTGCAGCGACCTTCGATCAGCTATATCCTGCATCGATCTGGTCATGGCTGTAGCAATGCTCCCGAGGCTCGTTGCTGTGGCGGCGCTCGTCGCGCTGATATGTGCTGTTGCTGTGGGCCAGGTACCCGCACCTGCCGTCGGCGGTGCGCCGGTGTGCGACTTGGTCGATCAGGACGTCGTGAATGCGTGCTTCAAGAGCTTTGGAGAAGGTATGAAAAATGCCATTGCAGACAGGCGTTTTTCGGGGGGTAAGGTCATTAAGGTTGGAGTGGACTGCTGCATAGCCTTTGGAGGCCACTCGTGCCTCTGCAAGATGAAGATGGCGTGGAAGGCTCAGGGCAAAAGTGCCCAGAATAATGTGCAATGCGTCAGGGAAAAGGCATGTTAGTGACTAGTGAGCGTGTCATGCATGCAAGACCTCTAGTTCGTTGGATATGTGTGTTTCTTGCATGTTGGTTTCAAGCGGTCGATGTCCACACGCTCCTTGTTTGCTTTTATTTTCTTGTGTGTGTCATGTGAGTTTGTTCTGTTTTTCTACGTATGTGAGCGTTGATCGGTCACTTGTGTCTTTTTAGTTTGTACCAATCAAAAATAATTGTGGGTGGAATTTCTTGTTTCATCCTGTTTTGTTTGTATATTATTAACAAAAAGCCCGTGCGTTGCAACGGGAGAAAAAAAATATTGTATGTCCAGATAGCTCAATAAGCATGTCTCAAGACCATTCATAGGTCCATGTCCTCTATTTGAACACTATGGCTCATTAGTGTCGCCACTTTTCATCCTCTTTCCATTCTTGTTTGGCGAGATCATGAGCGATGCACAAAAATCCTCTATCATAGGTTAATATAATAGGAAGACCATTAGTATTGCATAATGATCCTCTATCATGGGGTAATATAATAGGAAGATTATGAGTGTGACACAAAGATCTTCTACTCTAGGTTAATATAATAGGAAAAAATGAGAACATTTTGTGAGCCAAATACTCCAAGTCCGACTCCTCCTTCGTCGGTGACGCGCATCAGTTGGTCGAGTGAGCGGGGTCATGCACAATGATAGATAGATTTTTTGGAAAAATATTTGAGCCATTTATGGTTTGGCCCCCGAGTCCATTAGCGACAAAAAAGTGTCATGTTTTTTGGCAAAAAACGTCATGAGCTGATCGAGGCTGGAGTCTTTGGACATTAGCAAGGCCAGCGTCATGCTTTCTTTCGTTTTGTATTTGACACGATGTCGTCCAGCTGCCGAGGATAATGTTTCAACAAGACTGCATGGCAGTACCTTTGGTTTCGCTACACATCAGCTGCTTCCATGCGCCCCCTATATAAGCCTCATTGTAGGCGTCTCAAGTCATTGTTGTGCATCTTGTATGTGCAGCATATCGCAATCTTATTTCCATAGCTCACTGTTTGTTTCCAATGGAGGCTGGTTGATGTTACAGAGAATTATGGAACGTATATAAACTGATGGGTGCATATTTATCATAGCGATGTGGAACTATTTAAAAAAAACACATCCAAGTATCATCACGGCTGTACGATAGCCTAATTTTGTTGCAGCCTGAGTTGTAGTCCCACCGACGTCCTCCTTTTTTTCTTTAGCACAGCTCATTATTTTTTGCTTTCTTTGGAAATCAAAACCTGGCACCAGCCCATAACGTGCGCAGCTATTGAACTAAACCTCATTTAACAAAGGAACTACTTTTAAACAAATAACTGAGCTAGCCCAGTTGGTCGTGTCACATAGTGCTTGATGTGTGGGCAAAAAAAAATCAAAACTCAATAAATGATAATATAGGTGAACGGATTAAAAAAATAAGAGAAACGCATCTTGCTTTAGTAGTAGGTATTAACATTAGAGTGTTCTTTTACATGAACAACTGGACAACTTTTTTCCTTGTTAGGCTCGGACGATTTGATTGCCCATGAGCACACAGGGGTCGCTCATCCAGACCCTGCTCTTGATTAGACTTTATGAATATTTAAATTGCATGAATTTTTTTAGCGTTTTTATGAACATTTTTTATAATCATGTGAACATTTCCAATAGTTATGAACATTTTATTCAGTGGCACAACTACTTTTTTAATAAGGTATGATATTTTATAAAAATTGCGCAAACAAATAATTACATTTCACGAACATTTTTAAAAACAATTCATGAACATATTTTTAAACATGTGAACAGTTTTTCAATGTCATAACATTTTGTAAACGTGTGAACATTTTTTAAGTTATGTGAATATTTTAAAAAATATTTTTTAGATGTCCTGAACATTGATTAAAAATTGCGCAAACAAATATTTACATTGCATGCACATTTTAAAAACATATCTTAACTGGTTTTTGAAACGTGTGGACATTTTGTTAAATGAAATGAACTTTTTGTAAATGTTATGAATATTTTTATAAATTTGCAAAAAAAGGGTAGTCCGTGAAAACATTGTGAACAATTTTGTTAATACATATTGGCTATTTTTAGTGAAGCATTTTTATAATAGTTCAAGAAATAGCAAAAAAAGAAGGAAAAATGTGCGTGAAAACAAAGTGTAAGACAAGAAAAGTAATAAAAAGAGTCAATTACACTGGTGGTGCTAGAACTTGGCGTAATTGATCACTTTAGTGCTAGAACTTGTGGTGTACATCGAAGTGGTGCAAAAACTTGGCTCGGGCGTGCAAATACGGTGTTACTCGTGTTTGTATACGCCAGCGACGATGATGAGGCATGCCAGCCTGGCGTAGGGCCCGCTGTCCGTGAGGACAGGGCGGGTGGCGCGTTCCTTTTGCAAAAAAAGAAAACCTTGGATTTTTTTTCTCACGTAAAAGCCACTTTCACGTGTATAGTAATTTGCATGTATGACATCTGGTGGGTCCAACGTGTCAGCAAAATATCACAAATATATAATAGAATGAAAAATAGGCCATAGTGAATCCGAACTAGTGTTCTCGGTCTAACAGGCGTCCGCGGCTAGCCAACATACAAAGATATCATTTGATGTTTTTTAGAGGGAAAGGGCCTACGCCCCAGTTCCATTTTCATAGAAAACGAAACCAACAGTATCAGTTATTACAGCACTCGAGGGTGGATAAAGGTATCAACCCCGGCACAATCCTAAAGGAAAGACACAAATAAAAAACAACTAAACCCAACAGACCATACACAGGGGCCTGTTCTTACCCTACGACAGACACATACGTGTACCACAACCTGGGAAACTCAACAAAAACAACCTACACTAGCAGCTCCAGCGCCAAGTCGTCTTCCTTTCCACCTCTGCGTGCTAGCCTTGTCCTGTACTTAGCCCACAGCTCCTGTTTTATCAGCCTGGCCCTGGTCAGAGTAACGGCGGAGGATTTCTTGCAGCATTCCATAAGGATGTCATGCTCGTCACCAATTGCTCTCTTGCGCTTCCCACACACAGGATCTGCCACTGATGACAAAAGGTTGCAATCTTCCTCAGGATAACCTGTAGACCAAGCCAAGATTTACCATTAAAACACATATTGTTTCTGCACTTCCAGATAGCCCCGAGAGTGGCAGCATTGATCAGATTATTGGTCTGGTTACGATCCTCATGAGCCCACATAGTAGCAACTGCCTCATATGCGGCTTTCCCATTCCTATCAGTTAAACTGTAAATAATCTTCCAAATCTCCTGGGCCACCACACACTCAAAAAATTCATGGTTAATGGACTCCATATCACAGCAAAACAAATAGGATTTGTCTTCAACATTTTGTCTTTTACTCAAATTATCTCTAGTGAGCAGTTTGTTGTGAGAAATCAGCCATAGGCAAATATGGATCCTAGGAGGGACATGTACCTTCCACATATCAGGGATGTGAACAGGCACAATCCCTCCAAAGTTAACAAAAGTATACATGGATCTAACAGAATAAGCACCATTAGATTCAAATTTCCACACCATAGCATCTTCCTCATCAAAGAAACAAATAGATTGAGCTATGCTAATAAGATCATACCACATGAGACCCAACCTATGATCTACGCATCTCCTGAAGGTTATATATCTTCAAATTATTCCCATCCCAAACATCAGCAATAGTGATGTTATGTTCATTGGCAATACAATAAAGCTCCCAAAACTGGATGGCAAGGCTAGAGTTACCAAACCATTGGTCTTCCTAGAATTTGATCTTCACACCATTACCCACATTCCAGGAATAGCCTACCTTGGCAGCTTTAGCAGCCCATAGGACTCCTTTCCAAAAAGGAGAGGAGTTAACCCCAGGACAAGAGAAAATGTTGGGGGCTTTGGTACTATATTTATAATCTACAATCTGCTTCCAAATCTTGCAATCTCCCAATTGGTATTTATACAACCAGGAAGCCAGAAGGCTAAGATTCATATCAACAAGATTAGTTATACCCAACCCACCAAACTCTTTTTTCTGGGCAACCAAACCCCAATTGTCAAGGTGATATTTATGATGTCCCTCATAGTTGTCCCAGAAATAATGAGCCATCTGTGAGTTAATCAAATTGACAGCCCACTTGGGGAATTTGATCATACTCATCAAGTAAGAAGGGATGCTAGCTAAACAATACTGAACTAGGACTAGCTTCTTGTCATACCCTAACAGTCTACCTCTCCACCCAGTAGCTCTCTTGAGGACTTTATTATCAACCAAAGGTTGCAGATCCTCCCATCTAATTTTGGAATGGTGAAGAGGGAAACCAAGATATTTTATAGGGAAAGAGCCAAGGCCACAAGATAAGGCCTGTGCCACACAGTTGGCCTCATCCTCCCTAACATTAATAGGGACAAGATCACACTTATGAAAGTTGATTCTCATCCCTGACATCTGCTCAAAGCAGGAGAGGATCCATTTCAGATTTTTAGCATTATCTACCTTGTTACCAGGAAAAGCAAAGTGTCATCTGCATATTGCAGACTAACAACCCCTTGAGGGAAGACCTCAGTCATCATCCCCGATATCAACCCAGCTTTGGCTGCTTTAATAAGCATTTTACTGAACACATCAGCAACCAAATTAAACAACAGGGAGAGGCAGGGTCACCTTGCCTAACCCCTTTAGAGGTCTCAAAGAACTCACTACTACAATCATTAATCCTAACCCCTACGTATCCCCTATATAGGAGGGATTCAACCTTCTTCATCCACTTTTGGCTAAAGACCCTATGATACAACATCCTAATAAGGAATTCTTTACTCACTTTATCATAAGCTTTCTCATAGTCTAGCTTAAAGACAAATCCTTCCTTCTTATTAACCACAACATCATGAATAATTTCATGAGCAGACACCACACTCTCAATAATAAATCTACCTTTAATAAAAGCAGTTTGGTTGAGAAATATGCGCTTGTCACAAACATCCCCCAACTGATTAGTAACACATTTAGCAAAAAAAAAATATAACTACAATTGGTAAGGGCTATAGGCCTAAATTTCTGAATAATGTTAGCATCATTCTCTTTAGGGATAAGGGTCAAAAGGGAGAAATTCAGCCTATACAGGTCTAGCTCATTCTTATTCCAAGCATCAACCATCAGCATGAAATCCTCTTTGATGACCTCCCAAAAATGCTGATAAAAGAGAAAGGGAAAACCATCAGGGCCTAGTGCACCTTCAGCATAAGAGCCAAATACAGCAGCCCTCACATCCTCCTCAGTAATATCAGCATCTAATTTCTGATTATGACTAGGAGACACTACTTCTGACTCCTCCCAGAAGTTATCCTTCAGAAAAATATCTAAACTAGGCTCCCTACAGAACAGCTTCTTGTAGTAATCTACTGCAATATTAAGGATCTCTTTAGTATCGTCAACAGGGCCATCCTCTCCTATCAATACAGGAATCTTCCTTTTCCTCCTTTGATTAGCCAAAGCTTGGAAATAAGCATGGATACTAAACCTATCCATTGTTTGGCTAAATAACGTAAACTAAAAATGGGGAAAAATAATACAACCTTGGGGATTTTGAACATGTGATATTATAGATAAGAGCCGGTCGGCGCACCAACACAAACAATGGAATATTGATGACAAAAGAGGGTTGTGAATCATTATGTCTACAACAGAACGCCTGCTGGGCTAAAACAAACTAAAGTTAGTGCGGCCCATTTAAAACATGTTATTTTTTCTTCTTTTTTCTCAAAATTTGTAAAAGAATCTAAATTATAATTATATATATAATTTGAGTATGTATTAGTTTGAGAATCTGTAGTTCGATTGCACAGTAGGCTCGTATTGTTTTCCAAACATATATCTATATTTATTAAAAATACATACATATTTTTAGATAACAAACAAACTTTACCGAAATGCATAAACAATTTTAAAACAACATAAAAAATTTAAAGCATGATAACTTTTATATAAAACATGATTTTTTGTTTAAAATATGTATTTTTTTAAAATTATATGATAGTTTGCTCAAAAAAGTATTTTATAAAATTACTTTAGTACTTTATTTATTATGCAAACACTTTTTAAAATTTTAAAAATAATTCATAATTAATTTTATGATTTTCTTAAGTTAATAGGTGAGCATTTGTTTTGTCTAATTTCTGTTATTTATATGTATGATATTTATTTATTACGCCCTTTGATGAATAATAAGTGTTGCAGCTTTGAAATAAGGTTGAACTAATCTTAATTCAAAACCGCGAAAATTATTTTAGATCGGAGGGAGAATTCTTTTTTTTTTTACAAATTTCGAAAACTGAAAAAAAAACTAACATAAATTGCAGCCCACGATCACATCCTGATATAGACATATAAATTGTAAAGACATGAGACTCCATGGTCGTAAACTTTTTCTAGATTAAATTCCTAGTTTACGTTACTTGGCTCTTCTTGTTAGTCTACTTACATTATATATTTAGGTAAAAGATATAAAGTTTCCGTATGCTTGCCTGTCGGGAAGTGAATTCTTTGTTGGTGGCTAGCTGTGCGCGCTGTTTCAACCGAGATCACCTGTTC